AGCTATAAATACCCCCTTTAGGACATTCTAAAGGGCAGACACCAAAACTAATAGACAAAGAGGAGTGAGAGAGATTTTTGTGCAACCCTAAGGAGGAGCCGCCACCGTCTTCAAAGAGGAGCCGCCGCAGGAGTGACCATCGCGCCTCCTTCTGCTTCTCCGTTCTTCGTTCTTCTTCCTTCTTTTCTTTAATTTCCTGCAACTTTCAATACTCTGTGATGATTGTTTACAATATGTTTGAGTAGTTACCCAGTTGGGTTTAAAGGATTTTTTCAAAGGGAACTTCATGTGTCTTTGCTTATGAATCGATAGATTTAGGATTTATAATCTTCTAGATGTTCTTCGTTTGCCTTTAATCTTACTGCGTGATTCTTTGCTGGCCACTTAGAAACCGATCTGATATGATATGTTGCGAAAGCTTTCATTGATTGTCTGAACTAGGGTGAAACGAGCAATTCTTCTATAGGAGTGGAAACCTACCTGTAGTTGAGTTGTGAATGTTGATGAGTCTTATTCTGCTATTGCATCTTCTCCCTTCCAGAACCAGAGTGGAAACCTACTGATTAGGGTTGCGAGAGATAGTTGTTTAGTGCTGCGAAAGTAGGCTATTCATACTTCCGTGCCTCGAGTTCTAGAACATACGTAGTTGATTACCTTTATCACTTGTTTAAAATCGACCTAGCATAGACTATGAACCCCTGCGAAAACCCCTTGATGCCCAACGTTTGTCTTTAATTGTTTACAACCTTCAATTTAGTTCATTTTTCATTCGCTTATTACTTGCTTACATTCGCTTTTGTTTAATCGATTTTACTTGCTTTGATTTGCCTTCATTTTCAATCGCTATTTACTTGTTTCCATTTGCCTTAGTTAATCGCTTTGTATTTGCTTTAGTTGCTTTCGTTTTTATTTGCTTTTACTTGCTTAGCTTTCTAGTTTAGATTTAGTGACAACCAAAAACCCAAAACCAAAACCCTTTTAGTTCTAATCTGATTTAAGCGTTGCAGTGAATTCGTACTGAAACAACTAAGTCTCTGTGGATCGATACCCTAAGTACTACAGCGCACATATGTGCACTTGCAGACATTTAGGGGTTATAAATTTAAAACCTGAAGCTTAGTAAAACGAAAACAACCAACCCCGTTTACAAACCCGCATCAACAAACCCCTTGAAAATCACTTTACCCTGTACGAGGCGTTCTTCGAGCTCTGTTTCCTCTGGTTCCCGATCCCTGGAGTTATCCTCGAGTAGCTGTGGAAACACGGGATCTCGATTGGGCAGATTATGCCGCGGGGCTTGCGGCATATGATCAGCATACTCGAATGCGGACTCGATATTGAGCTGGATCATCTGCTAAATTTGTTGGAGATCAGAAAGGCTCTGAAGGGAGGTAGATTTTATATCTCCAACAAATCCAATCGCCGGATTATAGGCGGTTTCCCAAGCAAAGCCCAGTTTTGGACCGAGCGCTTCTTCTATGTCTTGGTGAACGAGGCGTCGGTTGGCGAGACTTCCTCCGAAAAACCAAGACCGCTTGGGGACCACTTGGTAGCCGATCCAAAGCTTTGCCTCGGCTCAGAGCTGTTATGGTATGATTTTCCCTCACTAAACTGGTTGTTTTTGTGTTGTTTTTGCAGTTAGGAGCATTCTTCCCCCGTTCCTGACGACCTCTTCGTTGTTCGAGATACTCTTGCGGCTCGGATAGTCAATTGGAGGAAGCACTTTATGTTTGAGAGAGTAGAAAGAGCACGAGCCATTTTTGCCGCAGTACTTGTTAGCTCTTTGTCTTCAAATTCTTCAGAAGATACAAGGGAAAAAATGGTGATCATCACTCTTAGAGACAAAAAGAGGCGTGAAGAAGAAGAGGCTGCAAAACGAGCCGCCGAGGCGGCTCGAACGGGGGCCGAGGCTGTCCCTCAAGATGATCCGCCGAGCTGTGAAGGGGAAGGTGCGATCCGAGCTGTGGAGGCGAACGTTACCGAGGTGATTGAGAAGAAGGTGGCGCCCGAGGTGGAACCGGGAGAGATCATCCCCGAGGCGCCCAAAGACGATTCGGTGGCTCGGAGCAAAACACCTTCTAACTCGGCTATTTTGGCTCTCCCGAAGTCATCAAGGCCCTCAGCCTCGCATCTACAGAAACACGACGCTGGTTGAAAACGATCAGCCACTGAGAAAGGGAAAGGCGTGGCTGTACAGACAACCGAGCCGCCCAAGAAAAAACGCAAGCTGTCGTCTGATGATCCCGCTTCACGCAAACTGGTCGTCGACGACCCAGATGCCTCGGTGGTGATGTTCTCGCGTGTAGCTTCCTGGAGACTTGTAGCTTCCGGAGACTTGTCCGAATTGAGTGATTCCGGTTGCCGAAGACAGAGGACTCATTTATCTACAACTTTGGTGAAGGACGTTTCGATGCTTGGGAAGTTTAAGGCTTCCTGGAGGGCACATCTTTGCAGTGCATTTACACGACCAGAGAGAGGCGTCTAGACATGTGTCCATTCCGGAGACCGTATCTTTCTTCTCAAAGCTCCGAATTGACTGATCTCGGATGTTCTGGAAAGAAGACTCAAATGTCTCTGATTCTCATGAAGGCCCCGGAAACTGAATCGGCCTGGAAGTGCACCGTCCTTCGCATCCTTCAAAACTGATCTGCTCGGTCCGGAATACCTGCCGAGACAGGGGTTCCTTCCGACGAGCTTATCTCTCTGCTCACGCGTCCGAATTCCACGATTCCACTTGCTATGAGACCGTGCTCCAATGCTCTCCAACTTCTATGAAGGACCTGCCGTCTGAATCGGACCGGAAGGCTCCCCGGACAGGCGATTTCTGAGACTCGCTCAAACCCGGAGATTTTGGCCGATACACTTCGTTCGCGGTACATGGAAATGGCCGGTAAAGCTTCCCGCGGTACATGAAAATGGCCGGTAAAACCTTCCTGGCCAGCGAGAATGGCCGATAATCTCCCAAGACCCAATTTTTCCACTTTTTCAAGCTTTGCTCACCATTTCACCTCCTAGATTCATCTTTTCAGCTCCATATTCACCTGATAGACACTCAAAACATGCAAAGACTCATTGGGACCTAATGCATCTCCTAAGTTCTAAAACAAACCCTAAGGACCTAAAATGCATGAAATAAAACATGATTTGGAATGATTTATGCAACCTAAATGATGCAAATTATGAACATATCAGTCAACAACGCTAACACGCGTCTTCCTCCTCCCGAGAAGCTAAGGAGACCAAGGTCCTATTGCGTGATGGCACAGTGCGGTACCAAGGTCTGTTCTGTTTATTTTTCCTTACTTTTTGTGTCGAATTCTGGCTAAGTGTTTAACACATATTATTCTTCGCAGTTTGTAGCGGCTATCAACGAGCTGATGGCTAAGTACGACGCGGACCTGTCTAAGGTCGAACGTTATCTAGATGAAGCTCAGAATGAGACCGCGGGGGCAAAGGGGAAGCTAGACGAGGCGATGACCAGGGTGAAAAGGCTGGAAGAGGAGAAGATAGCTCTTCGCGCTGATGTCGACTAGGTATCCGCCACGGTTGTTCGCCTCGAGGAGGCCTGGAGAGCCAAAAGTGCCAAGGTGGCGTTGCTTAAGAGGCGTATTGAGGCCAAGGACGCCTTGTTTGATGCCAAGGTCAAGCGCGCGAAGAAAGAGGCGAGGCGAGAGTTGACAGCCAAGTTTAGGAACGCCTTGCCAAGGTGGAGGAAGGTCTTGCCAAGCTTGAGAAGGCCAAAACTGACGAGAATGAGTCGAGGCGATGTAGTCTCGACTTACTATCTCGTGTACGATGACAAACCCTGGCGACCGATACGTTTTTGATCCGAAATTTGTATAGCGCGCTTGATTAATCCATAGAGGATATGACTTGCACCCTCGTCCTAAGAAAGGTGGTAAAAAGTCTATTTAGAGAACTTTGTGATTGTTGTCTCGTTGTGGCCTGCAACGAGGCGAGGTGTTTGGAACTATAGATCAGAAAGTTTTGCCGAAGTGAATGCAAAGACAAGTAGAAGTTTAGGAGAAGTGTACACAAGTGAATGAATGAAAAACTAGCCGAAGTGACAATAAGTGAATGAAAAATCCGAAGTGAACATGAGTAAATGAAAAACTAGCTGGAAATAAAAAATAGCTGAAGTGAGACAGATCTTAGAGACAGTAGACTCGACGAGCTAAAATCTTAAAGTTAATGAAGGTAAGTGTATACGTACCCACTCCCCCCCCCTTTTTAGGAGGGGGGACAGCTGAATCCGTACTAGGACGGGCTGCCTACGTACCCTTTGCAGGGATCAAGTCGAGCTCATCCAGCATCATTAAATGATTCAAGCCCTCCTGTACTGGCAGAAGTTTTCGTCGAATCCCTGGGATATCCGCCTCGGGGGGAATTACGCACTCCGTTCCATAGACGAGAGCGAATGGAGTTTCTCCGGTGGCTCGGCGCGGGGTCGTCCGATGCGAACAAAGGACTCCTTCGAGTTTGTCTACCGATCGTCCTTTTTTGGCATCGAGCCTCTTTTTCAGGCCGTCTAGGATCGTCTTGTTGGCTGCTTCGGTTTGTCCATTCCCCTGGGGATTTCTCGGCGCAGATTTGCTCAGACGAATTTTCCATTTCTCGCACAAAGCTTCAAAGCGAGTTGAGATGAACTGGGATCCGTTGTCGGTGACTATTTCATAGGGGACCCCGTGTCGGCAGATGATATTCTTCCAGACGAAGTGTTCGACTTGAGCGTCCTTAATGCTCGCGTAAGAATCGGCCTCAACCTATTTAGAAAAATAATCTGTAAGGATGAGCAGAAAACGCTTCTGTTTCGATCGATGTAGAGGCCCGACTATATCCATCGACCATCTCATGAAGGGATAAGGTGACGAAACCGACGACAGCAGCTTGGTAGGTTGATGGATTGTAGGCGCGTGCCGCTGACACTTGTCGCACTTCGCCGTAAACTTCTCGCAGTCCTTGACCATCGTAGACCAGAAGTAACCGTGCCGTTTTATCTTGATCGCAAGTGACTTTCCGCTAGAATGATTTCCGCACGCGCCGCTGTGCACCTCGTGCATTATCTTTCTTGCTTCCGGTCCTTCGACACACGTCATTAGCGATCCTGAAAATCTCCATTTGAATACCTCGCCGTCGACGAGGACGTATCGCGCGGCCTGAGCCCTAAATTTGCGGGCTTTCCACTTGTTGGATGGTACTTCTCCATCGGCGATGTATACTCGGATGGCTCCGAGCCATTCCTTGTCGCAGCCGTACTCCAGCTCGGTTAGTGAGGCGTCTTCTTCCATAGCGACTGCTTCGCCGTTCTCTGGTTCCTCCTCGGGAGGATTGATCAGCCGAACTCCTTCTACCTCCTCTATGCTTGGACGTTCGATGAATTCGACCGGAATTGTTGGACGGAGATCCGGGTCTGAGGTTGAAGCAAGTGCTGCTAAGGCGTCCGCCGAGGTGTTTTCGCCTCGAGGTATTCGTGTGAGTTCGAACTCGTCAAACTTTCGCACTAAATCTTAAACCACTCTAAGGTAAGCTCCCATTCTTCCATCCTTCGCCCCGTACTCTCCGTTGAATTGATATGCTACGAGCTGTGAATCGCAAAAGGCTCTTATTTTTCAAAATTTGATTCCCTATGCCAGTCGTAGGCCAGCGATCAGTGCTTCGTACTCCGCTTCGTTGTTCGAGGCATGGAAGTTCAGGCGAAAAGACTGCTCCAATATTTCTCCGGTGGGAGAGGTGAGACAAATTCCTACTCCCAAGCCGTGTTTAGATGACGAGCCGTCGACGTGCAGCATCCAAACTTCGTCTGGGGTTGGCTCGGTCGTCGACTCGGTTGGAAGTTCGATGAGAAAATCTGCGAACACCTGTGATTTAGCAGATGGCATGTTCCGATACTCGATGTCGTACTCGCTCAACTCTATGGCCCATTTGGCGAGCCACCTAGATTGGCTCGGACTGTGCAGGATCGAGCGCAGCGGAAGGGTAGCGAGTACCATAATCGAAAGTACGGACACAGCTTGCGAGCCGATACCACAACGGCTAGGGCGACCTTCTCGATCTGGGGGTAATGGGTCTCGGCATCAGTCAGTGTCTGACTGACGTAAAAGATGGAATTCTGTTCGGATCGCTCTTACCTTATCAGCACCCCGCTCATGGCCGTAGCGGATACAGCGATGTAGAGGAAGAGAGGTTCTCCTTTTACTGGTTTCGCCAAGACCGGCGGGCTCGCCATATAACTCTTCAACTCCTGGAAAGCTGCTTCGCATCGTTCGTCCCACTTGAACTTTTTATTTCCTTGGAGGATGTCGTAGAAAGGCAGGCACTTGTCGGTAGAACGCGAGATGAATTTGTTTAGCGCGGCGACTCTTCCTGTGAGCCTTTGAACTTCTCGCTTCGTTCTTGGAGAGGGCATCTCGACTAGTGCCTTGATCTGGTTGGGATTCGCTTCAATGCCTCGGTGAGTCACTAAGTAGCCGAGGAACTTTCCCGAGGTGACCGCGAATCTGCACTTCGCCGGGTTTAGTTTCATGTTGTGTTTGTTCAGTTGCTCGAAGCATTCCCGTAGGTGCCCGACATTTTTTTTTTCTTCGATTGATTTGACCAGCATATCGTCGATGTATACCTCCATGGTTTTTCCGAGCTGATCCGTGAACATCTTATTGACGAGCCGTTGATAGACAAGAGTTTTTAGGCTCTTAAGGGCTATCAATCCCTTTGTCAAAGTAGTATAAGGGGTGTCAATCCAAGAATGTGGAAGCTATACACTAGACTATATGAACTGATCTTAATTCAAGCAAACAAATGAGGTTTGGTTTGAACTGATGATTAAAACAAGAAACTAAACAATATAAAGAGAAGATAACAATGATAAGCAAAGCAAACAAAGACAAGCAAATAACAAAATGATGATGAGAATGTATGTATGATGATGAGAAAGGTCTTAGACATGATAGTGGATTAGGGTGCCTTCAGTGTTAAACTAGTGAGCTAATGAATCAAGTGTTCAAGAAAACCATTCAACTTAAACATCCTTAATTAAGTTAATCCTCTCATGAAGGTATCAACTTCTATGCTAAAACAGTTTCTAACCTAATCATCATTAGTGAAACATGAATCAACAGGCATTAAGAACCAGTTTAACCTGTCATTTAAGCATATAAACAATCATTCCCATGATGAATAACACTTAAACCTCTAACAACCTTGGTTCAGGCATTTCATCAAACACTTTTGGTGCATGAAATACCCAGAATCTAGACCACATATGATGTGTATGGATCTAGCATTAAGAACAGGTTGTAGAGAATGGAATATGAATGATCTAACCCCTAAGCTCACTAATCTACCACCTAAGCACCCTAATCTACATATCTAAGACCTTAATATGGGATTACTCACTAATCATGATCAACACACTAAATCTTTTGCAAGATGTGTTGTTAATCATGATTAGAAGTGTGTAAAAGAAGATGGAGATGACAGATTAAGAAGAAGTAAGCTTTAAACACAAAGATCTCTCAAACTCTCTTGATTAGAACCCTTAAAAATCGATATTACTCTTCTCAAAGGGGAGTCTTTCACAAAAGAGGCAAGAAAACAAAAGGAATAAAGCTTAAGTCTTGGGGATAAAACCCTAAAAACTATATATAGGTCTCTAAAAACGAACCGGGTCAGCCCGGAACAAACCGGGCTCTGACTCGGCTTTAGTGGATAAAGTGACGAATGTGCGAGTTGGTCAAGAGCCTCCCAGGTCGCATGCCCAAGTCGCAAAGATGAAGAAACAGTCTTGTGAGCCTTAAATCCTTTAGTCTCAGCCGCATGCCCATCTAGGTGTGTTTTGCGAGTCTTTGTGCGATTTAGTCCTCTTCCTCTTCAACTCGCATGACCAAGATGAAATCTGGGGAGGATATGTGTGCGACTTGGTCCTCATGTAATCCCAAGTCGCATGCCTAAGTCGCACAACCAAAGAAAGAGGCTTGAACGAGATAAAACCCTTGTAAGCCCAGCCGCATCACTCTCTCGGTGTGATTTGCGAATCCGTCTGCGGCCTGGTCCTTTTTGCTCTCCAACTCGCATGACCATGTAGCAGGGGCCTTCAGGGATGTGTGCGGCTTGGTCTCCATCACTCCCAAGTCGCATGACCGAGTCGGTGTAGATTGCGAGTCTTCATGCGGTTCAGTTCCAGGTTTGGCCAACTCGCATGTTCAAGTCGCACGGTTGTGGACTTAGCATTTTTCTTGTTCGGAAACCTTAGACCTTATCCAGTGATGTCTTACTCGCACATCTCAACACGCAGCTCAACCCCCAGGCATTCATCTTCAGGCGTTGCAAGTTAACCGAGTCGCAAGACTATCTCGCAGCATTCAGGTCTCCTCGGACCACTTCATATTCAGGGGAGAGTAACTTCCAGGAAACTGGTCCAAATGGTGTGATTCTAGTTTAAGTGGATATAAGACTCAGATATCTTCAACTTTGGTGAAGGTCTCGAGCTCGGGTGACGTTGGCAAGGGCTCCGTTCTGCCAGTTCTTTGGCGCGCGTTGCTTTGGTCTTTTATCAGCTCCGAGACATGCACTGCGTCCGATCGCCGTAACTTTCAGCTCAAAGATCCAAATAAGACTATCTCAAGTGTTCTGGAAACTACACTCGACCCTATTGATTCTTGATGAAGACTTCGGAAGCTGAATCGAATTGAAAGGCCTTCGTCCCACGCGATCAAAGTGAAGGTTTTGTCTGCACCAAACCATCTGTCCGAGTTGCGGTACACAGGTGAAGGTTCCTCCATGATCCCAGCTCCAAGTTGCTCCCAAAAGTCTCCAAATGACCTGAGAACACTCCAAAAATGCAGGACACTCTAGGACCTAATGCAAATCCTAAACAAACCTTGAACCAAGGACAAACTCTAACAAAACTAGCTAAATGTATGCATGAGACTCAATCTTTGGACAAAAATGCAGTCCTAAACATGACAAATTATGAATATATCAACTCCCCCACACTTGTCTTTGCGTGTACTCATGCAAAAAGAGCAAATGAGAGAAAGAGGTTGGATGCATTGGGAGTTCATATTCCTTAATGAGAGAGTGTATCACTAAAAGAATTCAAGGCTCACTGTCCTAGTTGCTAATTCTAAGATGCATTGCAAACAAGATTACTCACAAAACTTTAGCCATACTTATCAATAAATTAATCAAGCTCAAGCTTAAGTTTTCACAAACAGCCATAGTTCCAACCTTTTGACATTCATTAAAGCTCATGTGAATCATGCTTATGCAAATCATGTGAACTTACTTGTCTTGGGACAGGGTCATGAGACAAAGATGATCTCATTAAATGTTTATGGTTTCCATGCAGCTCAAGGGATCACTCAAGAAGGAATAAACTTTAACAGAATGCTAAGGGTAAAAGGCAACTGGTGCATACAAGAGCAGAATCCCATCTACCCAATGCCCCAAATTGGTCCTTCACCTTAACTCTACTCCCATGAAGATTACATCCTAGCTAATCCTTTCTCAAGACATTCATTGCCTTATCAACCCTCTCCTCACTTCACTCTCATTCTTTTTCTTACCAGGGGGTTCATCTTTTCAACTTTAAACTCAGGCTTCGGGGTCTGAATATTCCACTTAGCTCTTTCTCATATAACACTTTCTAGCCTCTTTTCTTTTCTCTTTAAACACTTGAGCCTTTTTGGCTTCTTTTCTTTTCTTTTACTTAGAGGCTAGATTTTTCTTTTCAAAACACAAGAGCTTTTCTTTCTTTACACAGCAGACCCCAAACCGCTTTCTTTTCTTTTCTAACCCCTGGTTCTCATCTCAAACTTCCTCTTTTCCACTCAGTGTTTCTAAAGAAGTCTTCCTAGCCTACTCTAGACTCATGATGCTGAGCTAGATCTACATGAGATCCTACTCTTGTCGCCCTAAACCCAACACTTTCTGTCAAGTTTATTCAGAAAAAGGCCTCACATCTCTCAATATAGTGTTTCAGGCTTCAAGGAAGGCTTGGTTAAAGGCAGGGAACTGTCTCAAGGTGAGAGAACAGCTATTTTGAGCTAGCAAAGAGTGGTAAAAGGGATAAGAGAGCTCAAATATTTTAAGGGTACCCATGAGTTCACAATGACATGTACAAGAAATAATAATTGGATTGTCAAATTATGGTCTCACTTAGATAAGGCTGGACTAATCAAAACTTGATTCACTCAACAAGTTCAAAGCATGGATCAGTCTTGATTTCTTTCTTGTTTACATGCAGCAAAGAACTAGAAACTAGGGCAGTGAACCGAATTCTTAAAGTGATATTCTCTCAAGGAAAACCTATCATTACTCCCTTGCATTGATGCAGCCTACATGAACATGCAACTAGACTCAATCCTAAAAATGAGAATGCAACTACATGAACATTTTTTTGTGAAATTGTTTTTGATTTTTCGAATTTTTTGGTTTTTTATATGTACTTAGATGAAACTACATGAATGCATGCAAGAATGTGACTCAAGACTCAAAGTATAAAATCAGAACAGAGAAAACATGATTACTAAAAGATGAAACTCCTCCCCCACACTTAAATAACACAGTCCCTTGTGTTATAAAAGCATGAGAAAGGAGTTAAAGCAAAACAAACAAGTAAAATGCAAAGAGAAAAAGAAAATCTACATGCATATGTACAAGGTGTGGAGTGTTACCTAAGAGCTGTGGAAGTCTGACCCCAAAGAGTAAGAGGGGTTTGAAGTGTGACCGGATGGTGTCTCCAAGGAGTGATGGCTTGCCTCATCAGAACCGTCATCAAGATCCACCCAGCACTTGTGGTAGCATCTTCAGCGGTTGCTTTCCTTTCCTTGGAGGCTTCTTCTCTGCAAGCTTTCTTGTACTTGAGGATTGGTGGGTCAGTTTGGACATTGTACAGCTCTTCCTTCAGCAAGAAGAAGTGAATGTTCCTCTTTACTTGGACTGTGGTGATGGAGGGATTGGGCAGGAGAGTTTGGACTGGCTCATCAATGAA